GATCTGGTCACTCAGCCTCGGCACCTGGAAGGAGGGCCACAAGGTCAAGGCCAGCAGGTGATTTCCCTTACCAAGAACTCCCTCCCTCCAAGGAATGACACACTGCCTCAGAGAACAACAAAGACAGGCTAGGCCCAGGCAAGCACTCATATCTTTTCATTTAACTCTTCTAAGGCATCTCTGCTTTATCTTTTTAGCCTTAGTTGTTACCATCTCCTAACAGTTTGATTCACTGTGTGTGTGTTTAGTTTCCTATATAACACATATCACATGAGTTCCATGATAGCAGACCCTTCATCTGTTTCATCAACTGCCGTGTTGCAAATATCTCACACAGTGCCTAGATACCTGGAACATCCTACTTCCTCAGTTGGAATTTGTTAGCTGGTGGGTGGACAGATGAGTAGGTAGTTAGATTTTAGCTGGATGGGTAAGCAAGTGGACAGATGGAGGGATGATGGATGAGTGGGTGGGTGGCTGAATGAAGAGAAAAGGATGGGTGAGCGAATGGAGTATGAATGGAGAGTGGACGGGAGGGGGGATGGATGGGTGGCCAGGTGGATGAATTGATAGGCAGACGAATGGGTGGCCCGGGGGATGGATAGGTGGATGGGTTAGTGGATTAGTGAGTGGATAGATGGAGAGATGGATGGGTAGATGGGAAGGTGGGTAGGTAAGCATATGGGCTGGTGGTTAGGTAGATGGGAGTATGTAAGGATGGATGGGTAGATGGATGGATGGGATGAATGGGTGGATAGACAGATGAGTTCATGATGTGTGGATGGAGAGATGGATGGGAAATACCATATCAGTGGTTCAACAAATAACCTTTGTGTTTGAAGTACATTCTGCAGTAGTCTTGTGGAAGTCAACTATTAGTTAGTTAGTTAGTTAGTTGGTTGGTTGGTTGGTTAGTTAGTTAGTTAGTTAGTTAGTTAGTTAGTTCAGGGAAAACATGAAATGAAAGTAGACTAGCATTCCTAAAGAAGAGGGATGTGGTCAGAAAGGAAGTTGACCCTAGAGAACCCAGGGTTGATGGGGAACTGACTCTGGGTGTTCTTCATCAAGAACAAGCCACTTAGAAACCAGCTCTTGAGTTCAGAAAAGGGAAGGAGGTAAAGGAATGTGCTTTGGAGAGCTTGACTGGTGCTAGGTCCTCTCCCTGGACTCTGCCCACCCATATTATTCCATGGGCTTCAGGGGCACCTGTTACAAGGGAAGGATTGCCTGTGTATAAGGAGGGAACACTCTCACAGCCTACTACAATCCCTGTTCAAAAGTCACCTTCTCACTGAGGCCTCTCTGATACACTATTGGCATGATACCCTAACACACACACACACACACACACACACACACACACACACACCACACCACACCCCTCTCCCCTGATGGGTGTGCTCTCACCTCAGGGTGCTCAGAGCCTCACTCACTGTCCAACACTTAGTAGGTATTTTTCCTAAATAGACATGTAGGGTAGGAAAAAGATAGGAGTTTGCTGAGTTTTGCCTCTCCCACTTCTACAGTTTTCACCATATTCCATGCAGTAACAATTATGTATCTTTTTGTGTAATGCTAAAAGCAAGCCATTGGGTTGAACTGGGAGAAAATCCTGTGTGCTGGTGGCAGTTTCCTAAAGACCAGCATGTCTCAAATTGGCTTCTTCAAGTGCTAATTAGGTTCCACAAAAGTGGCTTCAGAGGCCAATAAGCTGGGCTGCGCAGCCCACTTGCTTGCTCTAGTGGATGTTCTGTGCATGTTAACAAGTTCAGAAGAACTGAGATAGTCTGTGGTGGAGAAGAAACTGGATTAAGGATTAATTTGGTGTTACTTTTGGTTTCTTATTTTGTTTGCTTTGTGCATGTGTGCACACTCGTGTGTGTTCAGGCATCCTTGTATGTATGTGGGGGCTAGAGGTGACAATGAACGTCCTCCTCATTTGCTCTCCACTTTATTTTTTTAAAAAATGTCTCTCACTGAACCTGGAGCTTACTGATTAGGTTAGCCAGCGAGCTTCATCCTCATCTGTCTTTGCCTCCCCATAGCTCAGATTATAAGTGCTTATTTGGCTAGATTTCACATGGGTACTGGGGGTCTTAAATGTAGTCATTCTTGCCGATACAGCAAACACTTTACTAGTGAGTTACCCAAGCCCTATTCTTGTTTTTGAGCAAGTTATTAATATTTGAAGGAAGTAGATTCCATAGGTCTCAATTTGAGCACCAAGGATACAAAGAGAGCACCCATTAGGTGGTTTACACATACACGACCTAACGGTTTGAATGAGATGTTTCCATATTCTTGGACATTTGAACACTCAGTCCCAAACTGATGGTGTTGTTTGAGAGGTACAAGAGGTGTGATCTTGTTGGAAGAAGTATGTCACTGGAGGCAGGCTTTGAGTTTAAAGAGTCACATCATTGGAGTTCGCTGTTTGCTTTGTGCTTAGGGCTCAGGATGTGAGCCCTCAGCTTCCTGCTCCTGTGGACATGCTTTCACCCTGACACCCAGGATTCTTAACCCTCTGGAACAATAAGTCCAAATAAACCCTTTCTTCTATGTGTTGCCTGGCTCATGCTGTTCTATCACAGCAACAAAGAAGTGACTGATACCTACTATATACACATACCACATAGAAAAGCCTCTTCTAACCATATGTTTGGTTGTGCAGATCTCAGTCCTACTTGTGGTGCCTCCTTAAGGGTAAATCCTCCCTTGAGACCCTCCAAAGGCCAGCAGCCTTCCCCACATTTCACCTGAAGATGGCGTTGTGCTGAGAACTGCTCTGTCCAACAGAACCTCAGTATGAGCCAAATGTAATTTTAGATTTTCCAGTGATAATCTCCTTTTAAAAATTAGAGAAAGTTCATTTTGGTAGCATGTTGCATTTCACCCACAATATCATTTCAATGTCATCGATGAGTTGTTGAGTATTATTTCATTTGTATGAAGACTGAAATCTGGTGTGCATTTGACACTTTGGCACATCCCAAATGATCCTCCTCCATATTAGGGTCCCCTTAAAGATCAAGCCTGTGAACTACTGCCGTCTGCTGTCTGTTTTGTAAATAAAATTTTGCTAGCACACAGCCCATTCATTCTTCTGCATCTTGCTTGGGCCATCTCCCTTAACTCTGTGGCAGAGGTGAGTGTGGGAAGCAAAGAACACAGGCCCAGGAAAAGCCAATATTGTTTGCTTCCTGGTCCTTCTGGAAGTTTTCTGACCAGTGTTTACTTCTTTTCACTTTCTTCATTGAGAGTGTCCTTGTTGAATCTGCCACATGCCTAATTCCTTACAGTGCTGCTCCAGGATCCTCAGGAGCAACTGCAGCTCAGTCAGTTCCTATCATCACCAAACACCCTGCAGAGGCAGAGTGGTCATCCTGCCCCAGGTCCCACCAGGAGTCTACATCTCAGGCTGTCAATCATGGGAGGACTCTACCTGTTGGCTTTCTCTGTGCTCAGAGGAGTTCCGACCTTCCAGGTACATACTTGGCAGTATCTACTCAAGGGTGCAGGAAATCTCCACCATCAGCTTTTGTCAGGAAACCTGGAGCCAGTCCCAAGGCTGTCTCCTTATTATTGCTCATGCAGCAACTTCTGCTTGGCCCTCCAGATCTCTCAGTCAGCCTTGCCACTTCTTGTGAAGGGGCTGAGTTTGGAGCCTACCTCAGTGTAGCATGGACAGCGGTCTGCCTATTCGTCTCTTGGGCCCCTTCATCCTTCACTTTTGTGTCCTGTTTCTGTCACAGAGTGGAGGTAGTAAAGGAGACAGGGAAGGTGGGATACACACCCAGAATCCAGAGAAACACGGGCACCATTGCTTCAAACAGTTTCATCCTACCAAATGATGTTAAGCAAACCACAATTTAAAAATTAAGTTTGTTGAGGATTAGCAAATGTCTAATGAATTCAAATGGGTGACATAATAGAGCTGGGTAAATATATTTTAAGTAATCAGCATGGAAGATTACTGACAGACATGTGACTATTGAATCTTAATTAAAATTGTATTCTGAGAATTGTCACTTAGCCCATTACTCTAGCAGCCAAACAAAAGGCTGCTTCACCCCCAGTTTTGGAGAGGGAAAGTCAAAGGAAATGGGTAAATTTGCCTGACTCAGGCAATGAGATGACGGAGGTGCTTCCTCTTTGAGTCAGGAATTTGAACAAAGGCCGTGAGAAGAGGCTGACCTGGGTGCCTTCAAGCATTTATGAGTGGTGTGGGTGCCACAGAGGAATAGAGCTCAGAGACCAGGGCTCACCCAGGGAAAGAGAGCCATGAAAAGCAAATGGGCAGGGCTGAAGTTCTGTTGGCGAGAATGCCACCAGAGGTGCAGTGAGAACAGAAGCTGTAGAATGGACCCTGCTATCAAATGTCACAATCAGCCTGCAAAGGAGTCAACAACAGCCAGCTCTGAGGAGATGATGGAGGGGAGAGAGAATTGAAGGAGGAGGATGAGGTTCTCTGAACCTACAGTGCCTTAAAGCTAGCTTAGACTTGGGCACTCATCCAGAGTGGAAATGGTACCCCTCCCTCCCGACACTGGATTTCTTCATGTGGTACTCACAATTCTGCAACGTAACAGCTCACAACCATAACGTACCCCTGTGCAGTGAGAAAGAGATGCCCAGCACAGTGAGTGACCTGCTCTTCCATATACCTCATGGCTCTGTGCACTGTTCTCCGCATTTAAGCTACTGGGCAGTGAGATTCAGAGCAGTTGGACCTAACCAACTCCACTGTGGAAAGAATTGCCACTTACTCAGGATTGCCTGGCTCCAGGCCATACTCCAAGCAGAGGAAGCCCCTCCTGAGGCATCCATGTGCCTGGGTGTACCCAGAACTGGCAGCCTCTACTATGGATTGCTTAGGAACCGGAGATGGCCCAGCTGTTCCACTACATTTGAGCACTTGTGTTTTCTGCTCGGAGAGAAACTTGGAAGGAAGGCTGGGGTTCTCAAACCAGAGGGCTCCCTGGCTCTGAAAGGCCCACTTA